AATACCCCATTTTAAAAAAAAAAAAAAAGAACAAGTTTTTTTTTTTAAATAATAACATGAAATATTATAAAAAATAAATATCTTTAAAATTATTTGCTGAGATGAAATTGAAAAAAAAAAATCATATCCGGTATTTTGATAAAAAATGTATATGATTTAAAATTAGTAGAACATAAATTTTAATTAATTTATTAGAATTTAGAGATATCTTGGAATCAATTTTTAATTAAAAATTTTAATATAATTCTTTTATAAATTAATTATAAAATTTATTTATTTTGATTTAAACATATTTAAATTTATTATTTATCTTAATTTTTTTACTATTTTGTTTTATTAATCTAATAAAAATTAGAAGAGAATATTTGATAAAAAAATTTATTTCACCAGCAAATGGGATCCAATCACCTTCCTTTCTCTGCTTCGCCTTTTTTTTTCTCTGCTTCGCCTTTAATCGCCTCTTTTTTTCGTACGTACCTGACTTTATATTGGATTTGATAAATTTTATTTTATTTTTTAATTTAGATTCCTTTATGGACCTTATCCGAAATATATAATTTGATTCTCCTTTTATGTGACAGGAATTTCGATTACAGATAAGCTCAACTGTTCATCCGAATCTGATATTTATTTGAGATAAGGGTGTATGTGTAATATGCCTCTTTCAAAATAAATGAAATGTTATAATAATGAAGGCTGATAAAAATTTATATGAATCTTATGATTAATAAAATTAAGCTTTTATGGTGGTCGGATTTGGTTTTTTGACATGTTTGTATATATTAAATGAGTCAAATTCAAGCTAATATGTGAACTCCGTTTTATCTCGAAAAATAGTCTATTTAGTATTTTGTTTCTCTTTTTTTTTTTTTACTTGTTGGTATGATGTTCTTATTTTTATCAACTATTTTAAATTCTATAGTTGATAAGTTATACAAAAATTTAATCAAAATGATTTATCAGGTAGGGTTCAGAAGATTAGGTGTAATAACTTAGAGTTCTTAAATGATTTTATTTGAATAAAAATCTTTCTAAACTATGACGTTAGGATTTTGAGCCATATAGTAGCTGTAGCGGTGCAATGCTGGGGTGTCAGAATTCGACACGGTAACGTCGATGCTTTATGTTCTACAATAACAATGGAATGAACATGCAACGCTACGATGCAAGTTTGGAGCATTGCGGTAGGCACTTAAAAGCTATTTTTAAATAGAAACCATCTCTCCACTCAACCATTATCATCTCTCTCTTGTTTGGCTTGCCGATAAAGGAAGAGAAGAAGGAAAGGAACGGAAGGAAAGATGGGAGAGAGGAAGGAAGCTTTTGGCCCCCACTTTATTTTGCAGCTTCTATGAAATTTTTGTAGATCGTTGTAGATGAGTTCTTACATACTCTTGTTTTCAAAGATTTTGACTTCTACCGTTTGATTTTTCCCAAATTGATTTTTATTGCATATCTTTAATTTTAGGAAGTTTATCATATAAATTTTTGTATATTATAATAATGATTATTCTGGTCAAACATTTTATACGATTTGCATATAAATAATAATTTTGGCATGACATTAGGGTTGCTTGTGGGTTGGGCTTAGGTCCACATTGGTTGACCTATTTATTAATGAGTTGGATATATTTGGGTCATTTCAATTTCATGTCTGATATGTACTCGACCCATTGACATGTTTTGACACCACCTATTTAAATATTATAATAAATTCAAGTTTTACATAAAACAAAATATAATAATTATATTTGTGTGGTTAAAATAGAAAAAAAAACCTAAAGTTAATATAATGACATCAACAACTAGAGATAAATTTTATAAAAATGTAATTATGCTAAAAAAACTATAGCAATGTGGTGTTGGAAAAAAAAAACACTAATATTGATATCGATTACTATAGAAAAGAATATTGATGTGTGATAATTAGAAGGATGTGTTTTGAATTATGAGAGAATATTTGGGAGAATACTAATTAATAGAGATAAAATAGTAAAAAATAATTTTAAATCCCATTTGGTTGCTAAAAATATGTTTTTATGGAGTAGTGAAATTTATTAGATTTGTTATTCAAAAAGATTAATTAATTTATTAGACATTAATTTTAATTTCTAATTCAAAGCCCTCATGAAACTCAAATAAAGTTAATGAGTTCATATATATATACATATATAGGTTGTTTCTCAACTAAGTTAATAAAATGTGAGATCCTAACAATTTAATGTCAAAGATAAACTATTGCAAAAGAGGCAAGAGCTACATATAATATAATTGATGTAAATAGCATGGTCAAAACATCAAAAGGAAAACCTATATAACAAAATTGGATAAAAAAAATAACAATCAAAGCTCTATCAAGCTGAAAAAAAAAATCTAATAGATCAATAGGGAGGAAGAAAGAAATCAGTTCCAATATCATACGTATAAAGTGCAATTGAAAAATCCATTAGCCAACTAAAATAAGTACGATATTGCAAGAAAAAGAGAAATTTTTTAAAGAGCAAGAAAAGAGAAATCAAGAACCTTAAATAAATAAAAGCATCACATAATCAAGCCTACAAAAACAACAATAACATCAAGCCTTTATCCCACTACATGAAGTCGGCTACATGAATCATGTTTCTCCATTGTGTCTTGTTAAGAGTCAAATTCTCATTTAAATCTAATAAAGAAATGTCATTTCTAATATTTTCTAACCAAGTATTTTTAGGTCTACCTTTACCTATTTTAACATGGGATATACTCTCCTAATAGGGTCTAACATGGTCATCGGAAGGCCGCATGCCGTTTTACATGACCAAACTATCTAAGGCGACTCTCTTTAATCTTATATGTCATTGGAGCTACTCCAACCTTTTCACAAATAAGCTCATTTCTTTTCTTGACTCTGAGAGTAAATTCACTCATCCACCTAAACATCCTCCTCTCAGCCACACTTAACTTAATATCAATCTCATGAAGGGATTTTTTTTGATAACACAGGATTAAGAAACTCTTATTTGGGTGTTGGCCAGGAGCGGAACCAGCCTTAATTTCCAAGGGGATACACTTATAAGTAATTGTCGGTTTTTCCTTGAATTTGGCTCGACCCTTCACTACAAGAAAATATGTCAGTAGTAACAAAAAAAAAGCAAGAAACCATACAATATCTCAATCAGCTCCGAATGATCTTCAACCATCCATCACAGTAATAGCTGGTGTTATCGTCACCTCCCATCAGATATGCATGTCTATCATTATCTATATAAGAATGCAAATATGTTAAATTGGCTATGGTCAATTTAATCAATCCAAGCCCCAAACATATTAAATTCCAGATAATTTTGATGTGACCAAGCACCCATTCAATTTGACACAAACCAAATCATAGCCCATACCTTCATGTATAAAATAGCCATAGAACATTGACGGCGGTGAGACACACCGGATAGTCTTAAGTACACAGCCGGTGCTGAAATCCACGCCGATCCTTTTGGCAGCACATCCCACGTGCAAAGGTTCTTCGAACCTCTGCATCCCCCCTTTCCCTTATTTTATGCCGCCGATTTTTTTTTATTTTTATTTTTTCTCATACGGCCGGACGAATTCGGTTTCCGCCGCATGTGTATTTATCACACCAAACGGCATCCAATGCCGCCCGTGGTCCCCACCCCCCTCCCCGTTTCGGGTCACCCGAAACCGCTACGATTCTCCGCCCTACTACAATATTCTCTCTCCTCATCCCCACCGTCCGATCAGCAAGGCCGGCCCTTTATGGAAAAAAAGGTGGAAAGTATGAAATCATCCTGGAAGAAAGCACAAGTATTTGATAAAGGAAATACTTTCAGAATCCGTGAACATATTTTCCACACTTGCTACCTTCTCAAGCAAGCCTGCTTCTTTCCCATCGAAGCTCATGGCCATGTCGGCTTCGCCGGAGCCCAGGCGGTTATCGCTGGAGCTGCTCCCCCCTCCGGCCGACTACCACAGCCGCTCGCCGCTTCCTTCCAAAGCGGCGAAAAACGAAGCCCTCGCCGCGGGCGAAGACGACGATCGATTCCGCACGCCGACAACGGAGGAGAGCAGACTGAATTCAACTCCGACGACCTGCCCGCCTCCGCCAGTGAAGATAAAGCGCGGCGTTGGATGCAAGAGGAAGCTATCGGAGCTGGAGTTCTTCAAGGTGGAGGCCGATGAGATCGAGCGGCTCTTTCGCCCGAGAGATCTGCAGTGCGTTAGAAGAAGAAGGGGAAATATTTGTCATGAAGAGAGGGAAACCAGTTCCTCTTTGTCATCTGTCTGATTTATACCGATCTGATCATAGCTAAGTGTTGTTGATTTTGATCACTTCTTGTGAGATGTAATATTAATGTTAGTCAGATATGAATATATGTGATTGTTGATTTTCACTCTCGCTTTTAGATTTCACGATCGAATTGGTTGGACCAAGTCCTATCTGATTAATCGTGAGATCCGATCTGTTGCGCAGATTAATTATACTGCTATTACTTGTTACAATTTCCCGTCTTTCAACATTTCTCGGCTCAATCTTTGAGAAATTTAGAACCTTGGTTGGTCGCTGCAACCAGAGAGAGAGAGCAGAGAGGAAGAAAGGAACATAACAGTTTTTTTTTTCTTTATTTCTGAATTCTGGCCCTCGCATCTTAAGTGTTTGATGGATTGACAGCTTAGCTCTGGAGAAAAATTTACAAAAAATAAGATTGAGCTCTTAATAAATGGCCGATGAACAATCAAAATTCTTTTATGTATAAATATATTCATTTTGATCGATTTGTTGAGCTCAATCATGTTTCTTACTTTCTTATGCCTTAAATTAAGGGAGAGTAATAATGCTCATTTATCATGCCTAGGGATAAGACAAAGAGAACGGGGGATTAGGCCAAGTACTTGGAAGATGACAAAGAGGGGGACCTTGTTAGCATTGAATTTAGGCCAAGTTGGTTAGCATTGAATTTTGTGATAAAATGTCTATAAATAGTTTTATATATTTTTTGTGATAATATATATTCAAATATTATATAGAGAAAAAATGTTAGATAATGATTTGTGAAGAAAATTATATCAAAGTATTGTAATTAGTCATGAGCATTTAATCTTTGTTATCTTTAAATTTTATAATATATAACCTATTAGTAATCTATTATTTTATATTTTGTGGAAGAAGATTTCATTGTAAATTTAGGATATGTAATTTCATGGATTTGAAATAGATTAAAATTATTATTACTTCAAAAGAATTTTTTTTGATAGAGATATTTTAACTATAGTTACTTCAACATATTGAGAGGTTAAAAGAGAATTTTAATAATGGAGTTTAGTTCAATTGTTGGATATGCTAAGCAATATTGGTAAGTATAGGCAGATAATTATATGAATTGGAGAGGGGATATGAATTATGCCTTAAAAGAGAGCATAATAAATGAAATTGGGCTTCTAATTATGGAGGCATGGGTAGCTCACTCCATGCTGATATCTCAATTTCATATGTTGAGCCTTAAAGAAAAATGATAAGTGTAAGTATATATATCATGATCGTACTTTCAGAGAAGGCAATATCCAAAAATTTTAAGTGCTCTATGTTTTAAACGAATGTTTTGTGAGAACGTCAATATCATGATCGTTGGCGAAAAGACTAGTAGAATTCATCCTTCAGCATTACTAGTGGCATTTCTTTTGAAATTTATATCTCCAAATCACATCCTTCCACTTCACTATTTCACCACGCACTATAGTCTCTACCCTCTTTCAAATTAAGGACACATGACAATAACACTAAGCATAAATTAGAAAAATATAAATTGATTTCTTATTCCTTCATCTTGTAACATATGGTAAAAGACATTGTGTCATTAAATTATGCATATTTTACACTTAGGCTTTGTTTGAGACTGCTTTTTTACTACTTCTTATAGCAATTTTTAAGTACACATTTTTGTACTAAAAAGCTTTTTAAGAAGCAGCAAAAAAGTCTTCTCAAACAAAGCCTTAAAACTATTTCACAATGAATTAGCCAAACCTTACATATAACATAGACATTTGATATCACCACCATATGAAATATGAAGGTGAAGAAGAAGTTCAATTTTGCTTCTTATTCCATTTAAAAGTTTTTTATATTACTATGGCTATCCTCATTTTATATCACATTGAGTGACGGAAAAGAAAGAGAAGTGTTGGAGGAATATGGAAGAAGAAGAAGGGAAGATAGCTTAGGGAGCCTTTGGCAGAACTTGAAGGTCAATTTTCTTAGCGCTTCTTGTGCTTTTAATGTACATTTTGCTTACAGTGTGGTTCTACAAAGAGTCCATATATTCATTTGTATAAATCTTATGATAAAAAATTAATCTTGCTGCCCATGATGAAATTCTAATATGATTTCTTATGTCTCAATATATTTTTCATGTAACTATATATGATTAATGAAAAAAAGACATGAATTTTATATTATTTTTATGACATAATTCATCATATAAATTCTACATATTATGTAGAGTGTAATTTATTCATTTTCATGATTTATATGGTACCTTATTTAAGATTTTAATTGAATGCAAAGCATCATAAATAATTTAATGTCTTCAAATGATGCACATGTTATCATGCAATAGATAATATATAAGGTTATACTACATGTGCTTATGCTCATGATATTTTTTTTTTCACATGATTTTATGTTTTGTATTAAGTTATGCATAAGAAATAAATGTTTGATACTTTTCTACGAAATGAGATGTAGCCCTGTTTGGGACAACTTTCTTACTGCTTTCTAAAGAAGCTTTATTGTTAAAAAAATACAAGTAAAAAAAAAGCACTAAAAAACTGCTTTAGAAAATACTAAGAAAGTTGTCCCAAACGAAGCCGTAGTTTAAGGAGTTTCAATCAAATTCATGACCTCATGATCGAGAACTTGGATATAAACTGCTAGGCCAATGTCTAACTCAAGTTACACATAAGAAAATTTATAATGACTATGTCATGAATAGTAAAATACGTATGTGCACGATAAAATAAATGACTATATATTCTTGTACATATGTCGGTAGTCAAGGTAATGAGCTTCCCTTAATGATTGAAAGCTTAGCAAGCAAGCAAAGATCTTTACATAAGCATCATTAATAACTATATAGTTGTTAGAAATATGCATATTATAATGATCAATGATCATATGAAATAAAATGATGATGAGTGATAATGATCAAGAAAGCCAAGTAGCCACCTTTGATCCTTTGGCTATGAAATAAAATGATAGAAAATTAGCCTATTTTTTAGAGTTGAAGGGTAAGTTTGAAGGACACAAATGAGGTTTTTAAGTGTACAAAGTTTGGAATTTAGTGGAACCAAGTAACATGCATGAAGGTGGCATTTTATATGGTAAGGCCTTATCCATATGGAATTTCTCTTGTCCCTAAGAATATAAAGTAATGTTGTTTTCATTAAGAAGCAATTGAGTGTATGTTTTGTGCTATTTCAGTTCAGTCTTATTATAAGTGGGAGAACCATATGGTTGCACTTTTTTATCCTGGTAGAGAGAGTGTAAACTAAAGGAGGATGAAGCAAAATCATATGCAACTCAACAACCATAAGAACTTGTTTGAGATCAATTTTTAATTTTATTTTTAAAATTTTAAAATATATATTTGATTTTGATATGTCACCAAAAATCAATTTATTTAGTGATGAATCTCGAGGCGTATTCAAATTGATAATTTTTCAAAATAAATTTGGGACCATCCAAGCTCCAATTTTAATAAACTTATAGTCAAATTGAATATCTCAAGGAGACGAACCCAACGACACCAAAATCAGTCCAATCCGAGCTAAAATTGATTCAAATCAAGGGACTGAAGTACATTTGGAAGGTTCAAAGCATAGATTGGATGACCAAATGATATTCAGATATAGCATGCTTATTATCGAATCGAGCGGCTCGACGAGACGGATCCAACAAACCCAAGAACGCTTAGTTCTAACATCATTAAGGCGATTACATAATGAATGAATGTTCTATGATCATGGGAATCAATATGGGGTGTCTGATAAAGCACTCCAAACCTATCCTGGATCTTCTTCATATTTACAAAGCCTGACACTCACAAAAATTTATAAATAGTCTCACGCTCTCTTCATGAGAGGAGGCTTGGGCTAGAGATTGAAGAGACTTCTGAGACTTCAAGGATCCTAGAGTTCTACACAGGCGCCATCACTAGCAAACTTCCATCTATAGACTATTGCCAAACCTCTGCCTGTCCGCCTACTGCCATTGGACCTCCACCATTTGTCGATCGCTGACCACCACAGGACATATGCACAACCACAAACTATCGTTGGACCACCACCCGTTCGTCGATCACCGCCGAACCTCCATCGCCCTGCCGAGTACAGTCCCCCCTGACCATCATCGCCTACTAACTTCAGTCCCTTCAACCTCCATTGCTGTTGACTACAATCATTCTGACCACCGTTTCCCACTGACTATGGCCCGTTCGACCACCGTTGCCTTTTGATTAAGATCCCTCCGACCTCCACCTCCCATCAATTATGTTCGCTCTGACCACCGTCGCCTGACTACGGTCCTAACAACAGAATGAACAGTTTAACGCTCTCTTGAGAACAACTCTCATATCACTAGATTCTTCCAACTTTCACCATGTAACACACTCTATATGGTGTATATTTGCTACATCGAGCCAAGGTCTTCTCCTTAAGGAAGGTTCTCATTTGTAATCAACAATGAACACTAGTAGAATCATTTTAACTATGCCTATATCTCATGTTTTTTTCCCTTTTCAGGGTTCTCCACATAAAAAATCTTGGTGTCACTTGTAACTCTCGCACCACTCTCTATTTGTTTGTGTGCTAAATCTTATTTCTATCACCGTGAATGTTCCAGGGCGCAACATATTTGTATTTTAAACTATTTTAAATCAATTAAATTATTTTTAAGGATACTTAAAATAACTTTTAAAATGATAATCACTTGGTCAAACCCTCATCACCACCGATAGCCATCAACACCATTGGCATCACCACCATCATCAATCGTCGTTGCCATCATCATTCACCACCACACTGCCAACCCCATCAACGTGCTACCCCACCAATGCTACTAGCAATCAGTACCACGACAACCATCAACGTGCTACCCCACCAATGCTACTTTAGTCAAATGACCCTTAAGCTTATAGATGAGGGCCAACCACTAGATATTTCTACACCAACTTGTTTTTCATTTATCTGATGTGGACTAAATCCAAACTCTCTCATACCTTAAGAATCTATCTC